CAGTTTGAAAAGTGAACCGACGTTTATGAGTCCGACGCAAAATGCCAAAACGAAAGCAATAGTCCTTCGGGACTGAAATCCCTTTGGACTAAAAAGTTGGTAACTTTAGAAAGGGAAAATCAGTAGCATTCCCGAATTCTGTTATCAATACTAGTTCTATTCTGATTCTCTTATCAGTGACCTTTCTTGTCAAAGGACGTCACTTAAGTGTAGTCTTAATGTGCATTTCACTAAAAAATATGGTTTACATGTGTTATGAATTGATAGCCGTCAAACACGAGTTAATAGCTATCGGTTTATAACACATGATTGATATCAGTTCATAACACATGAATTGATAACAGTTTGGAGCGTTCGCCAAGAATCCTATTTCTGGAATATTATGATTACTTGACTTTCGTAATGCAACATAGAAAGTGTTAAGCCTAAGAATACTGAAGGATTATGCCTAATTATTCTCATAAAATACTCTATTATTATAAAAGTAAATTATACATGTACGTGTTAAAACCAGATGTGAAGATCACTTTTCTCTGGTTTTATTCTTAAACAGTATCTTACTTACGACAACATGTGTTAAACGTGAAAGCAATGCTAACTGAGAAGAAATTTGTAGATATGTTTCTAAGAGTACAATGTTGACGTTTCAGAATGGATAGAAAACAACGAATCAAATTTTAATGTCTTGAGTTAAGAAGAACTTATACGAGGCTTAGACCTAGAGGACAATAAATTTGGCAATAATACTGAAAGAGATGGTGAAACGTAGGACAATGTAAAAAACGGCTCAGTTTTAATATTTTCTGATTATGAAAAAATAGATGAGGGCCATCTGCTTAAAAGAACGGGTACCTTCGTAAAGGATTTTTAAGGAAAACAGACTCATATTCACATTACAGATGGAAAAACCATGAAAATTAACATGCAGCCATCCTATTCGTTGGGATTTGAACCTGGATCGAACTATATGTGTTCAGTGCTTTTAGCGCTCGGCTATCAGTGGGCGCCAAGACCTTTCTTTACATTAAACCCAGATTTCATTATCTGATATCGTTACGCTCTTAAGTACCTAGGATAACTGAGGTTCTATCGCAAAACTCTATAACATCTGTAACACCACAAACAATTTAACATAGTATAACTGTAAAAAATAAAAAATAATAATAATAAATTAAAAAAAAAAAAAAAAAAAAAAACGAAAGCTTTCAGATTTTATATTGCGCCCAAAGGGACGTTTTCTCCTTTTCACGCACATATAATTTCGACATCCGTTTCGAGAGCATTTGGGCTAACGCCCCTTTGGGCTAAAATATTTAAAAACAGTGTATCTTTAGAATTTCCGATAAACAGTCTCCGCTGGAGATAAAAACGTGTTTTTCCATACAGTGTTGCCATTGCTAGCTTTGAAATCGTTGAGCTTGTTAATTAAATTTCATTAAAGTTTTGCAGAATATGAAATAGATGATATAACAAAATCCAAATTCGGACTTTCATATGCAAATGTTCAGGTAGAGGACTAGGTTATTCAAAATTTGATGACTCTAGATACCGTCGTTTTTTCACATTGCGAAAAACACTAATACATTCATGAAGATTCTTCATTATTTAATTTCTTTAAATATAATACAGGGCGATAATATTTGGTGGCAGCTATTTCAAAAGTGGTTTAACGCTTTTAGTGACTCGACGCAAAATGCCGTTTTGAGACTAATAGCGCTTCTGCTTAGACTAATAGTTGCGAAACTAATATCACCCCTTTGAGCAAAAAATGAGACAAAAAAACAACCACAGATTCGCTTAGATGTTGTATAAAGTATACCGATTTCAAGGGTGATCTGACATAGGTCTGTGTTTTTAAAGAAGAGAGTAGGGAAATACTGAGGTAGAAGGAAAAGCAACAGATGTGCAAGAAGATGGATAGGAGGAGAAAAAGAAAATGGACGTGGCTCCAGTCGTTGATAAAAAGAGCATTGAAATATATAAAAGCTAAAATAGTGTATATTAGACTTTTCTTCCCAATAAATTCAAAACTCTATTATCTTAGCCTTTCATTTTTCTTTGTAGCTTGAGCTTCATTTGTTTTCTCTTTAAGCCTGTCTCTCGCCTTTCATTTCTCTATACATTTGTTATTGCTTTCTCTACCTTTGCAAACTTCCTACTGAAAAGTTATTTATATTAAGTCGTTCTTGAAACTGGCAGAGTTTTATTCAAAGCTTACTGCAAGTTTCTTTTTTTGGCCTAATTTTAATTTAACACCGATTAGGTATATGATTCAAAAACTGTTACGCTTGTGAGATTTCCTTTTATCTTTCTACTGTACCTCATTTTATCTTTTCCAGTATTTTTTCGCAGTCAGGAATGTAGATAATGCATATAATTTATTTAAAATTGATTACATATAATTTTAAAACTCAGTTCTGCGCTTTAAAAAGGTAATCAAGTTACATTTCTTTTGTGCCTTTTGATATAAACTCTTGTTTTTAAAGCGAGTAATTTTTGTGTTTAATATAATTTCATTTTCTAAATCAGCCTACCAGCAGCCGAATAGTAAAGTCGCTGAACACTGGTAATTCGACCTAGGCTCGATTCCAAAGAATGGGCGGGCTGCATGGACGTTTTCATGGTTTTTCCTATGTGTAACATGGATAGGAGCCAGCTTTCCTTAGCTGTCTCTACGAAGGCATCCCTCCTCTTAGGCAGATAGTTTTGTCATCAGTCATCATCAAATAAAACAAATCATTTCATAAATCGTCGGCAAACTCATAGCTAATGAGCACAAATGTCGTTATTTCGTTTTTGTAGCCTCAACTTTCAGCTCATATCCTAACATGAGATTTGGATTCGGGATTGTTCCGTATTCTTCTAATATTTCAAGTTAATCGAATTGTTTGCGTATTAAAAGCATGTACGGAGCAGGAAAAAATAATTTTTCAGTTTATAAAATCATAGAATATCAGATGAGTGGAAATACATTCTTTTTAATTCACGAGTTTTCGATTTCGATAATTGGGCATCCTGAGATAAGAAGAACAATGATTCTTTAGAGTCCAGATTTCCTTGTAAATTTATGAGCTTTTCCACTACAGAATTCTGTATATAATTAGACCTAACTGCATAAGTACTAAAAAAAACTTGAATGATGTCTGAGCTAGGTAACGAAATTATCAGACTTGACAATATTTTAACAATGCCGCATTTTTAAAAAAGATGTTTATTAGTGATGCAGTTCAAAAAATTGATTCCTGTTCCGAAAATTTCATTTAAAAGCATTACGCCAAATGCATTAATAAAATGCTTTGAAGGAAAGAAACATATTGCTTCCAGCGTTAAGAAACTTGTAGCTTAACTAACCAAAAGAAAGGCAAATAATTATGAGAAACATCTACGAAAGAAATATGATTCCTTCTTGACTTAGGAGTCAACTAACTTACTTTAAAAGCAACTTAATTTCGTACTGTTCCAAATATTTGTAAATATTTGACTTTATTTCGATTTTTGCTAGTTTTTAATTTAATCGTTTGTTGCATTTTATGCAATAGTTTTTTTGTGTGTGTTCAGTTGTATTTTTGGTTCTGTATTGTAATTTTGTTTATTTCTTCTCTAAAGATATTGTGAATTCTAAGGTTACGAACGTGCGAATTTTGAAAGTTGTAGCTCATTTAGAAGTCGAGCTATACATAGAAATTCTCCTAATGGACATTAATAATAATTTTTGCCTCCAAATTGGCGAAACTAAGGATTTTTTGTTATTCAGGCGTCTTTCAAGAAGTTTTCGAAAAATGCACTTTTCAATTTGTTGGAGAAATTTACCTCGAAATTACCACGAGTTGCGGCAAAGCTATACAAAATTGAAACCCGCGTTTTAACTGTGGAGTTAGTTTTGTTAAAAAAATTTAGCGGAGTGAATCCTAAATTCAGAATTATGCTTTAGATTTTAGTCTGTGAGTGATATTGGTTGTCTGGCAAAGAGAATTTGACTTATCTCTTTGTTTCCCTTCAGCTATTTATAGCTATTTGTCAATTTTTTCCTACTCTGGTGTAGATTTTTGAAATCCGTAATTCTCAACAGTGGAAAGAATCATCAGAAAAGTTATATTAAATTATTCATTAATTTCATCAATATGTGCATTTCAAACATCCTCTTTGAAAAATGAACTCTGTGTTACATGTAAACTTAAATTTATTATAACAGTTAAATTTCAGTTATTGATATTTAAATTTATCATCACGACCAATTTTAACGTTTGTTGATAAGCCTGATACCACAGTTACTATCAATTTAACGGTAAAAACTTTATCTTTCTTCTTCTCCAGGAAACTGAAAAGCAGAGAATAATTAGCATTATGATTTAAATCAGAGGTTTCCAGACTTTTTTTCTCATAGACCACTTTCAAAATTTAGCTGGTTCCGGTGGACTCCCTGCAGCTACATTTCTACAATATTCCCCAAACTCGACAAAAAATGAGAAGATTAGATCTAACTATGGAAATTTGCTATGCGGCTGAGTTAATTACGAATTAATAGTTTTCGGGAAAAAAAGGGATAATTGATTGGTTAATTAATTAATTGATTGTGCCGTGAGATGGATGTCAAATAAGTAAAGTTGGCCAATCGAAAAAGTGATTCCATCCAACTTTACGTTTTTGACATCTACTCACAGCACATGGAACCAATCAATTCTCACTTATTTCATTTAGAAAACTCTCCATTCGGAGTGGTAAAAATAAAAAGAAAAATAGTATATTTTTTGTGTTATATTTATTTAAATATATACTATTACACTATTAATTTTTATTTGTTATCATATTACATTGTCGTAATATAATTAAAATTAAACATTAATAACGTTACGTAACTTCTACAATGACAATCACAAAATAGTCATAATTTTAATGGGAGGGATGTACTTGATGGGTCGACAGCAAATTATCAATATTTGGCTTCAGTTTTGTTAGGAATAACTGCAAATCTCCCCGTTTCGTAATATTCAATCTGCTACTTTTTTTTTTTTTTTTTTTTTTTTTTTGTTTTGTTAAAAGGTTTGTTGTAACGACTCTAAAACTTTTTTCGATAAGAATGAAGGGAACGCTATCAAAAGCTTTCTCGCAATTCCCCACAGTCCAGGATACTTTTCGGGTGTTTCTGCCTGCAGCCAAAATGTTTGATACATAAGTGCTAAGCTCGAGTAGCTCCTCATTAGTGCTAAGGTCGAGTAGCTCCTCATTAGTGCTAAGTTCAAGTAGCTCCTCTTGTAATATCACATTCTCCACTTCCGTTTCATCAAGTGGATTTATGATCCATGGTGTATTTCCATCCTCAGAATATCTTCAAATCTGATTTTGAAATTATCATGCAGGGCAATTAAATGTTGAACGTATGTCTGAGTATCCTCATCATGGTATTCTACCTGTGACAAGTTTGAAAACTGGGAAAATTCGCGTCGATTAATATTTTGCTTCATAAATTTCAATTTTCCAAGAAAAGCTGAAACTACACCATTTGTTTTTATTAAATTGAGGCTGTTCCCTTGTAATTGTAAGTTCGTCATTAAATTTTTTGAATAAATCTGTCAAATACACGATGCCTGCTTTCAAACTGATTACGTTTTCTTTTAAATCTGGATCTTTACTTTCCAGAAACTTTAAACCTGATTCAAAAAGTAGGTAAAATTTTGTTAAACATGCACTTTTCGACAACCGACAACCAGCGTACTTCAGTATGTAAGAGCGATCGTTGGAAGTCTTCATCATTTTCATCGCACAATTGTGCAAATAAACGCGCGTTCAACGCATTGCTTCTTATTTTGTTAACTGCATTAATCACAAATTGAAGCGATTGGTGTCATCTATCACTGAAATGTTTCGCTACTAGGTGTTGTCGGTGGATGGCACAGTGAATTGCAGTTACCTCTGGTATAAATCTTTTAAGATGGCTTATAAACACACGATATCGACCATGGCAGGAGTTCCATCTGTTGCCACCGAAATAACGTTTGTGAATGGAGTCGATTTTTCCTTAAAAAAATCATTCAGGACATTAAATATTGATTCACCTTTAGTGTCAGTCTCCAAAGTTTTTGCGAATAGTAGCTCTTCATGAATTTCTTCGTCAAATATATGCCAATCGAACATATGCCAATAATAATGCATCATTACCAGGTAAAGTTGTTTCGTCCAGCTGAATAGAAAAATGAGTTGTTTGCAGATAATCACTCAAGAAACTTTCAATATCAGAGCTCATTTCATCAATACGTCCTTGTACAGTATTGTTACTCAAACGAATTCTTTTGAGCATGTCAGATGGAGATTTGTGCCAGAGCAGTTTTTAAAACCTCTTCAACACGGGGTAAAATCCAATGGTGTGCGGTTTTCCAGATTTCGCTATAAGTAATGAGATATTGTAAGATGCCCGCAAGCCATCATCGTTACTTTCAGATGTTAAAGCGAACATGCTGTGCCCGGGTCTCTTTTGATACTTTTCCTTCAATGCTTGAAAATATTTCAAAACTTTACCTATTTTATCAGGATGACACCTTCTTAGATGATCTTCGAGCTTAGATGGTTTCATCGCTCAAAACTTTGTTGCATAAAAGACATATGGGCAATCGCTTGTCTGCCTTTGATGGAAGAAAACCAAATTTTAAATAATCAATACTATACTGTCGACATTTCTTCTTAGATTCAGCCATGTTTCGTATCAGTTACCTACCTGTAAATAAAAAAAAAAAAACTTTGTTTTAGTAATCATAAGGTGGTCTTACTCAACAAGATATGGCTATTTTAAGAGAATAGGATTACCTAATTAATTATTGCAATAAAATAAACAAAGTACCGACGGCAAAACTGATTCTAATTATTAAAAGCAATAAATCGCTTCATAAAACTCTATTATGGATCTTAATCCATGAATACGGCTGAACCGATTTTAATGTAATGTAAAACATTTTTTCATAAATATGTTTTGATATATTTATGTAAATTCGATAGAACATACTTTTAAATAATATTTTGATATTAAAAGTCCGCGATTTTAATTATTTATTTATTACATTGATGCACGTTACGGGTACGTAAAGACGCGTACAATTTATGAAAAATCATTTAATTAAGTCATTTAGCATTAGGAACCTGAAATATTTACTACAGCCATGCAGGTCAATCATACTATATCTTTCCTTTAGTGAACCACCACACAGTCGGGTAAAAAAAAAATTACTAATAAAGTAGGGACAAAAAGTTCAACATTTCTCGGCTTTCTGTTCTTTTATGGAAGTATCTAATAATGACTCTGTTCAGTATATAATTTTTAATACGTACTTACGTACTTTTATCCTTGGCATACGTATTTATAGTGGTGAAGAATCAAACAAGTTCATGCAAGATTGTAAGCACATACAAGTCGTATTTCGTCCCTTTGCACATCTGCGGACGACAGAGGCGGAGTTCTGCAAGTCTCGACACGTTGTACTGAATATGGAATACAAGTAACAGTCGTTGAGCTTCTTAAAATATTATCTGCCTACATTGATAGGTGAAGTCAAGCCAAAATTTTAGTTCTTCACTATCGAAAGCAAATAAATTTTCGTGGACCCCCCGCTTACGAATTGTGAACCCCCATTTTTTTGTCACGCCAATGTAGACCCCCGTCGAGTCTCCTGTGGACCCCTGGAGGTCCACCTGGACCACTTGGGAACTAAGGATTTAAATAATATAAATTTTCTCTTATATTCTCCTTTTCCTTTTTTAGGACACAACATTAGGAGATTTAATGATGCTAAAGCAAAAGATGAAAATTATTCAGTTTTACTTTAAAAGTCAATACTCTGTCAATTTGATGGAATGAACATGCTGCAACTTCTTTAATATTCAGAATACCAATTGGTTCAACATTCTTTGCGACCAAGAATTGCTTTCTTGAGGAAAATTTTTGTCAACCAATTTTTCCCGATTTTCGAATCTTAACTTTACATTGCGGTAGCTACCGTCTTTTTCCGAAAATAAAACACTGTTTTACTTTCTTTTTTGGTCCGAAATACGCGCTAGGGCTTATTTTCGGGGCCGGGGGGAAAATAAAAGTATATTTATATATTTTTATTTAATATTTATTTTACAGAAATTTAAATTTATTCAATTACAGTCATGTCATCTTCTTCTGGAACATCGTCATAAATAAAATTCTGAATTATATTCTGATTTTCTTCTAAATCCATTTCCTGTTGAATCATTGGTCCGAATCTCTCATGTCTTACGATATAACTATCGTTAAATGATAACGATATAACTATCGTTTTACGATTAATTACGATATAACTATCGTTAATTAATCGTAAAACTTCTTGTCTAAGTAGCCTGTTCGTAGGGCATTGGAAACATCACTATCAGTTATTTCGTCCCATGAATTTTTTACCCATCAATCACCCCTTTTGATTTTCGACTCATTCTGTGGGGGTTGGAAAAAGGTCGCTGCGTCGTATGTGTCTCGGGGGTTACGGTTCAGCCCAAATTTCACCCAGACGAGAGTCTGCCGACGCTAACTGATGACAATGCCTTTCCTGTGAACGTATCTCTCTCGTGGCAAACGGTGAACTGGTTAAGATAAATTCCAAGAATTAATTTAAACGAACTGTAGAGAGGTAAACAATTAATTTCTCGGAATATTTTGTTTCAAACATTTCTCTGAAATACGAGTATTAGGAAAGCTAAACATATTATTACTTAATAAATCAACAGCATATTTTAACGAATCCTTTTTGTCACATTATTGTCACTAGGGATTATTTTCGGGGAATGTCTTATTTTACAAAAAGTTCCGAAAATCACGATAGGGCTTATTTTCGGAGGATGTCTTATTTTCAGAAAAAGACGGTATATATAACGGTCGCAGATTTTTTTTTTTTTTTTTTTTTCCTGGAACTGTTTTGAAAGAAAGATGGGTGAACATTATGCACACGAACCATACATCCTCTTATAGACCTCTGATTATAGAATACTTCAAGTCGAAACTAACGATTGCCAGATAATATTTTTAAAACGTAACATAAACATATTTCCATATATTGTATTTAATGTTATTATTTTATGTAATTAAATAATGTTGTTCGTTATTTAAATTATAACATTAATTATGGTATAATTTAATTAATGGGACACAAAAAAGACTATTGCAGCTGTCTTGTTCTTGGGAAAATCTACTTTCATTTAAATGTATTTGATTTTTTAATGGCAAACCATTTTTATCCAATTCCTTTTCAAGTTCTATTGTTAAAATTTTAAGGGATCCATTACGGTGCACCTAATTATTTGTGAATATAAATATTTAGTTGCGAAATGTCAATAGTTAAAGTAAAAACCTTCCAATACATCAACGGTTAAAGTATTGTGTTTAATAAAACGTGTATTTTGAAAAATAAAATAGTAATAGATTAGGAAAGCAACACATTTTACCATTCTGGGCTTTCTTAAATGTATGTTCTTTACAGTATTTTCTTTTATAGTAATTCTTAATTTTAGTTTCTTCAACGCAGTGTTTTGCAGTCGCAACAGCGTAAAAAGTGTTTCTTTAGTTCAGCCTGCAAAAGTATCATTTCGATGATACTTATAATTATCTGTATCAGAAATAATTAATAATTGTTTTTTAAATTTTGTTTCATGTATGGTGTTTGTTCGCAGTACAGAAATCTCCTCGAAATATAGGAGACGAAGGGATACAAGTTTACTTTAGATGAGACTTCGTTTTGTTAAGTCTGTAATAAGATCAATCAGGAGTCCACACAGAATAGTAATTTAAAAAGAGCATACCTTTAGAATTTCCAATATTGAATCTGGTGCACTGAAGATAAATATTTTTTTTATTTTTTTTAACGTACAATGTTGTCGTTGCTTGCTTTGAAATCGCTGAGTTCGTTAATTAAAAAAAATTTTAAGTTTTACAAAATATGAAATAGATAATAAAACAAATTCCAAATCTGGACTTCTAGATGCCCATATTCGGGTGGAGAACTAGTTTATTCAAAGTTTGATGGCTCTAGATACCGTTGTTTTATCACAATGCGAGAAATGGCAACAATTTAAAAAATAATTTGCCATTTACAGTGTATCAACGCAAAATGCCAAAACGAAAAAAAACGAAATTAATAGTCCTTCTGGGAAAATTGCCCCTTTGGACTATTAAAAAAAAAAAAAAAAAAAAAAAAAAAAAAAAAAAAAAAAAAAGATTCCCCTTTTCTGCCTCTTATGAATCTGTTCGAAGCCTGCGTTTATTTTCATAGCGTATGTCTCTTTGAAATTTAACATTTTAATTAAATTCTAAGTGTTCAAAATATTACGTAAGAACTCGTGAAGCAAAAGGATACATCATCTGGTACAAATTTCAGAAGCTCCTGAAATCCAAACCAGCGCAGAACTTTAGCTTCCGTCATATCATCTTACGAGCGATTCAAAAAGGGTACTGTTTCTCAATTTCTTTGCTGTCATCTGTATCTAATTTAAAGCACGTAACAATCGTGTAGGCTAAAGCTAAATTTACGGATGAAACACTATGGATTTTCCACCGAATAATGAGCAATAGCATGCTTAGACGCACATGGCGTAACATCTATGAATGGAAGAAATATATTATCACTTAATTTCATACATCCAAATAAACATCCATTTTAAATAGAAACTTATTATATGAATATTATGCTGTATAATAAGGATAAATAAATTATAAAATTGAATTAATTGTATGGCTGGAAATCTAAAAAAAGATTTGATTAAAACAAAAATAAACACTAATAAAATTCATAAACTTTGAAACAGGAAAGGAAACAAAAACGTATTCGATGTACAAGGCAATAAACAGGGAACCCATTTGTAAAAGTAACAAGCTACAAAAATAGTAAATGAAACTGAAAAAGTTCTGAAAACAAATTTTAACCTTCTTCTTCTTTTTTTTTTTTTTTTTCGAACGTGATTTTGCGTGGACGCCACATCTTACTTGTCTCCATTTATGCTTGAGCCGACTACAGGCCAGCGGTAAAATCGCTGAATAGTGGTAGTTCTGACATTGGGTTCGATTCCATGCGAACGGGCTGCTTTTCCCTTAGAAAGTCTTCCACGAAAGCATTTCTCCTCTTAGGCAGATAGCCCCAGTGTGCTTTGCTAAAATCAACTAAACCAAACCATTTATTCCCAACGCGAGAATTTCAGTTATATGCAGTAAGCTGCAGAGCATTGGTCTGCTGCAAAAGCAGCATATTCTTTATCAAGATTTCAGACCTACAACAAGGTCTACTTTTCCTACGAAAAATCTTTGAGCGTGGCGCCACGTGACTCGTAAGCCATCTCAAAAGAAACTATTCCTTTCGTGTTTTTTGTAATTGGAAAAGATGGAAAAAATATTAATAGCTTGCATTGGGAATCACGTAAACTTAGAATAACTCACGTAAACTCAGTCGCGATTAGCGCTCCTGTTCGAAACAAAGCTTTAGATTTATTTTCTTTCGTGTAAAATAAAGATAGCCAATCTTCAGAGAAAATTCACTTTCAATTAAGGTAAAGGTTAGTACGATAACTTTAAGTGCTGTTTTAATGTGGTTAATATAAAGCTTCAAGGAGAAGCTCGCTCTGTGGGAAAAAAGGCAGCAGAGAAATTCCAAACCTCAGTTTTGAAATTAAGCGGAAAAAATAAATAAATAAATAAATAAATTAAAAGATCGGAAAGCTTTC